CCCCCGGGGTCAGCTTGGTGGCCTCCTCTGGACTCGTCCCAACAGCTCCATGTCCCTCTTACGGTGGCCAGCGTGTGCCAGCGAGCAGTGTGACCGCTGGCATGGTGTGCCACCGCTGATGGTGAGTTTTGGCCTTGCTTAATGCGGAAGTTACACAACTAAGTCCTCTCTTTAAATTTAGACTGTGACTTGTGTCCCTCACTGAGGGAACTCACCAGGAAAGACGCTCTGGCAGGCCAGACTCCAGTTAAGCGGGTCTCAGGCCTCCCAGGATGAGTCCTGCATGCGAAGCCCAGCGCCGTTACAGCAGCTCCTCACCCTCCCGAAAGGAGCTGCTTTGACATGCAGCTGGAAGATTTGCCCCTTGCGATCATCTAGCCTGAGCAACTACTGTGAGACATTTGCTTAAAAATGAGAAAGTTCCACAAAACCACAGATTTTCTCCCTTCAAGTGCAAACCAGCTCCTGGGAAGTCTCAAGACTTTAGTCTTGGATTGTAGCAGAGAACCTGAGCCAGTTAAAGGTGTCCCTGCTCCCTGCACGGGGGGTTGGAGTTGATCAACTTTAAAGGCCCCCTCCAGCCCAACGCATTCTCTGATTCTGTGAAGTACAGAAATCCATGAGGAGGTGAAAGACTCAGAGCCCGCTGCGCCGTGCCCAGGGACCCGCCCTCCGCTCTAGAGCCACCCACCGAAACGCGATTACCCCCTCATTGCAGCCTCCAAGCAGGAGCCGTTGCCATCATTCAGAATCCTTCCCGAACTATTCCCTGCGGCATTAACCTCTGGCTGAAAAGGCCTCAGAACCAAACGAACGCAGGCGACGAATGTGACATCTCAGAAGGACGCTGGGACGGGGAAGTAGATGCCCGCCCTGTGGAGCAGGCACAGGGTGCAGAAGCGAGCACATGCGGGGAAGAACCCGGACGAGGGGTGGGTTAGGGGAGGAAATCCACGTAGCTTAGGGAGAAGTAACTCCTTTTAGACCCTGTTAGGCCACAATTTGCCAACGGAGGCACCAAACATGCAGGTTAAGTGATGTCAACACCGCATACGGAGCTTGCTGAAGATTTTTTTGATTGTTCCTCAGCCAAGGCTCTTAAGAAAAGCAAGCTGCCACAGCATAAGGTGGCACGTCCTTTAGTGGGCAAAGGAGTAGTTCAGCCCCAGAACAAGCAGAGGGAGGTTCTCCCAGTGACCCCGGCACAGAGCAGCTCTCCTGTGAGGGCCAGGACTTGGTGACTGACGAGCAGGAGCAGAAGTGACAAACACTGTTTGGAGAGAAACTGCTGGTGGCACCCAGCTGGGCGTCGGGGCAGCCACAGCAAAGCCAACTACCCACAGGGTACTGGGAGTTTACAGAGTTGACTGCAGAATGACATGGAAGGTGAAATTTGCTCCACGTGTAAATGGATTCAAGAAAGAAACAAATAACTCTAAAATTAAAGGCCTCTGGCTCAGAAAGTGCTAAAACACAGGTCATTGTAGCCTGGAGCAGGATTCTGGGAGGAATCACTTTTGTGCTTTTCTTCTCCTGTGCTCTTGGCATTCCCGGTGCCTTGTGTCAGACGCGGCATCAGACCAGCCAGAACCTTGCGCTGACTTCGTTAAGTTTATTTTTACGCTACTGGATGATGCTTAAACTGAATAAAAGTAATATAATCCCCACTGCAGGTAAAAAATGCAACAAGCTTAAAAGGAAATTGTGATTCTCTAGTCATTAGCGGAAGCTCTCTGAGAACACCGGCACACTGCTCTGCAATGCCATTTCACTTTTGAGGATGAGCTATTAGAAAAGATGGGAGAACATATAGATCACCTTCCGCCATGGCATAAACTCATCATATGCCCACATGTGCAACACTGCACACAGTGCTCCTCTCCTCTACCTTAAAAATGGCACAGGGGAAATAAAAAAGGCCCAGAGGAGTGTGAGAACGATTGCCACTAGGATTCTTCAGCTCGGAAGGAAGATAACTGATACATACTGGCCTGCCGGAACGGTAGAGAAAGAGTGAATAGGACACAGTTCCCCACTGCATCTCAGAAGATCCCAGGAAATTTTCAAGAAACAGTATTAAACTAAACAGAGTGACTGATTATGGAACCTAATGCCACAAAAAAGTTCCAGATGATTTTATAGAGGATCATTCTATTGATGATCTCGATGCAAATACCCGGCTCAAGACATCCCTACAGGACACTGGTATGTTCTGAACCAGCAGCAGCCTCCCTCGCTGCTTCCTACCCTGTGAGAGAACTAAAACAATACTGGGCGAGAGCAAAGCACTGCAACCAGGATGAGAGGTTCTAGTTTTGCGAAATTTTGGCATTCGGGCGAGAAAGAATCTGTAAAATGGAAGTTTGGAGAACAAAAGGGTGGATGCAAAGCTCTAGAGATGTGGCTATAAAGGAGGTAAATGAACACTACAAGGTGACGAGCTCCTCTCTCGTTCCTGTGTGCGTATCAACACGTGAGCCAAGTCCCAGACAAAACCAGTAACGCACAAGTGTTCCGTCCCAGGTGGGACAAGAAGATACCTTTCCTGTGTAGACACCAGACATCCCGAGTGGACAGACACCGTGAGGACAAAAGCAGCTTCTCACCTACCACGAGTGGGTATCCAGTAGTAAGTGCAACACAAAGCTGTCGGGGGG